CCCTGGGATCCCAGCCCTGGGATCTCACCCCTGGATCAGGGAGGAGGGTAATTCTCCTTGGCAAAGGGTGTGGTGGTGACGCAATCTCAGAGGGTTGACAGCAGTTGGGGACAACGCTTTGTAGCCTTAGCTCTTGACCCTTAAACCTGTTCTCCGTGATCTAATGGGGGCTGGTAGCTGGGCAACCCTGAATCTCTTGGGCAGCAGCTTGGGCTTTCCTGGAGGGGGCTATTTCCAAAGCTTGCAGGGGGAAGGTAGGCTAGGCAGAAGTGGCCAGACATGTCTGACCTCTGAACAGGATACTGGAAAGTCCTTTGCTGGAGGGACTTTCCCTTTGGGTGGCTGTCAGGCACAGTGGGGCTGAAGCTGAGGCAGGGGGAGAGGGGGCGCAGGGTGGGCTGACCCTGCCACCTAGCCACTTACCTTGTTGCCTAGCAGCATGATCACCACATCCCTCTGGGCATACTCATGAATCTCTGTGAGCCAGGCCTGTGGGAGAGGGTGAGCTGAGCCAGGCCAAGGCTGAGGCCCAGGCCATTGTCCTCCATGGGTGCCCTGTTAAGGATTCTAAGACCGCATATGAGCTCAGTGATCAAAGAACTATGATTGAGGGGCTGGGGATGTAGCTCAGTGGTAGAGCACTTGTCTAACGTGCGGCTCTGGGTTTGATTCTCAGCATGCACATGCACGCGCGCGCGCACACACACAGAGTACTGGTTGATTAGTGATGTCTGCCATGAGCATGGGGTTGGAGGTGGTAACATGAGTGCCAAAGATTTTCCAGCATTTTTATTTTATCTTTACGTCTAATTACCCGTTTGTTCGTTAGCACACTGCCTTTGAGGTCAGGGAGCACATGAAACCTACACACTGTTGTGCACAGAGCCAATATTTATTGAGCTACTGTCTCTTTCGTCTAATGTATGTTGTGAGGACATAGCCACTCTGTCTGCTTGAGTTGCACCTTGGGCTGAATGTCTGCGTAGACATTTCTGGCTGGGCTTTTCCCTGGGTCTCTGTAGATAATTGTCCAGGGTGGAGCTGGAACTGTTCTGAACACTTTGACATGAGACACCCTCATGAATCATGGTCAGGACTATGCAGTGGCATGGGGCACAATGCCCTGCTTGGTCTCCGTGCCCACATGGCAATCAAATGCCCAGTCACAGTGAGGTATTTCTTGGAAGGTTGTGGGATTCCAAGACCTGCCCTGCTCTCACAGAGCAGGAAGCAGTTCTGGCCTGCATAGGCCCTGCTCTGGCTCCATAGGGGTGGGAGGGCGGGGCACCCTGGGAAGGGAGGACCTACCCTGATGTTGTCGAAGGAAGATTTGTTGGTGATGTCATACAGCAGGAGCAAAGCTGGAGGGGAACAGAGATGACAGAGGAGACTCAGGGCAGTAGCATGGGAGCTACAGAGGGGCTGGGGAAGGAGTGGAGGGCACTGGACTTACCCTGAGCATCTCGGTAGTAAGCATGTGTGACACTGCGGAACCGCTCCTGCCCTGCGGTGTCCCAGATCTAGGAAGGGGGTGGAGAGGAGGTCAGGAGGAGGCAGGGCACTGGGGCTGCTGGCTGGCTGGAAGGGTGCATTCTGTGGCATGGAGAGCTGGCTGGGAAGAGGGGACTGTCTCCTTCTGTAGGTTCTCATAGGCTTCTGAGAACTGGACAGTGGGAGGTATTAGCTTCTCAAACCCATTGAGGGCTGGCTGTCTCTTGCCCAGCCCAGGGGTTGGGGTGTCTAATCTCCTGAGTCGCTGAAGCCCAGAAAGCTGGGGAGGAGATGGAAGAGGGAGCTAAGCTCAGCTGAAGACATTTTGAGCAGCCTGTGATAGGAGAGAGGGTGCCTGGGAACCGCTTTTTCTGCAGACATCAAACAAACAAAAGCCATTTCCTCTCATGGGCCCCACAGGAAATTACCCCAGGCTGAGGGCAAGGCTTCAGGCCTCCTGTGGTTCAGGGTGAAGAGCAAGGGCAAGCTCTTCCCTCCTCCCTTCCTCACCCAGCCTCTCTCTCTCTCACCTGCAGCTTCACCCGCACACCATCCACGGTCACCACCTTGTTCTGAAAGAGAAAAGTGCAGAGGGTGGAGAGGGCAGGTGAGGCTGGGTCCTGGGCTCTGCCAACATTCTGTCATGGTCCCTACAGGCAGTGTGATGGGCCTCAAAGATGTCTTCAGCCAGATCACCCATCAGAGCAGCAGGGACCCTGTCCCCAGACACCCCCTCAGTGGAAATCTCTCTTCTCACAGCACAGCCAGGACAAGGGGAGCCTGAGAATCTGCCTGGCTCTCTCCAGGCCTCAGCAGGTAGCACAGGGTGGGGCACATAAGGCTCAGCCCCAGGACTGTCAGGGAACCCTGAGAGATGAGGTGTCCGCTGGCATCTGGGGCCCTCCGAGGCTAGCCAGGGCCATCTTCCCTCGAACTACTGATACTTCTCTCAATGCAACTTCAGCACTGGGAGGAGGCACTGAGCCCTCACATGGCCCCACTTGCCAAGGCTAGACCCTTCCTCTCCTGAACTCTCTGGGTGTGTGGTGCTCCTCAACCCTGTTGCAGATTTGTACAGAAGGAAGAGGGAGGGACCTGGTGAGCTGCTGCCTCCCCACATAACCAGCCCAGCTCCTAAGATTAGTGCAGGACAATGCTTCTTGAGTACTTGAGAAAGGGTGACTAACTTTAGGCCTTACCAAAGGGGCTCAGCTCAGAGGGCAGTGAGCAAGGGGCCTGCAGGGCCAAGAAGCAGCTTACTTCATGGAGTGGGTCTGCCCTGGCCTGGGACAGCCCCCAGGAACGGAAGAGAGGAAGACTAGTCTTGTTTTTCATGCCCTGTAGGTAGGAAGGCATCAACACCGCCCAGATGCCTCTAACCTGGCCACCTCAATGGCCCTGGGGCAGCATCCCGGTGCCCTCCAGGCAGGGAGCCATAGGACTCCTAGGGAGCCAGAGTGGGCAAGGAGAGGACAGCCCCCAGCTCACTGCTTGGAGGAGGAGCCTTCAGCCACCTCACCCTGAAGTCTATGCCGACCGTGGCTATGAAGGTCCCGGACAGGAAGGCCCCATCTTTGAATTGGATCAGGAAACAGGTTTTGCCGACACCTGAGTCTCCCAGAAGCATCACCTAGGAGATGGGGCAGAGGCTGTTAATGGGCATTCAGAGGGAGCTCCCGGATTCCAGGGAGAGACACCCTGAAAGGGGGATGAGAGGAGGGGAGAGGGCCAGGGAAGGTCGTGGGCTGCGTGGAGCAGCACCTGCTTTTGGACGGTCTGCTGCCACCTTGTTGCCCTGCTTCTCCTTTCCATGCCCTGAGGGGTGACCTTCTGGGCTCTTCATCTGGTGCACATGTGGGGGTGGGGCCACAGTGCCAAGAAGGAAAGTGTTAATATCTGGGACAGGATTCCTACCAGGGGAGCCTTTCAGGACCAGCCTTTCAGGGCACCATCACTGGTTCAGCATATTCTAAAATTACAGTTGTTTGGGTTTCTTTGTGGGTCATAGCATTTATTTGGAAGCTTCTAATGAGGGTTTCTCTTTATAAAAAGGCTTGCATGAATCAAGGAAGGCTGAAATTTACCCTGAGACGGGAGACAGTTGGTCTGAAGTTCTTTCAGCCAAAACCTCCCAAGTGGGACAAATGGCTGCAAATTGGCATCCCTGGGTCACTGCAAGTGAGGTGGGAGGGAGTGTGGGGGTGGGACATGCCCACTCTCTTTGTTTCTCATCAGTGTCTGCTCATCTTCTCTAGGGGACACATAGGAGTGATGGAGGGGAACCTCAGTGCCCAGTCATTCCCTGATCTTGGAGAATAGGAGTCTAGACTTAATGCTGAAATATTCCCAGCAGCCTGGTTTGACTGCTTCGTGATGGGTTGAGCAGGGACTAGGTCTGCATGATTTTTAAGGCTCTGAACTTGATAGTGGGGCCACAAGCTTTCCTGCTGTAGGAGTGAGGTATTGGGACTATAGAACTCTGGTAGAGAGACAGGGCTGAGCAAAAGGTGATAAGGCTAGGGTTCTGGCTTGTGAAAGGTCTGTGTGTGACTTCCGGAAGATTCTCCAACCTTTCTGTAGCATGATCTCCATGGTAGGTAGAAGGAGAAGGGATCATTTCTTTGAGGTCTTTCTGAGTGTGACAATGGCTAGGGCAATAATATAATATTACTGTGAACACCTAAGTCTCAGGGAAGAGTGGCCCAGGGGTGGGTACTGCCTGCCTGTGGTCCCCATTCCTTCTAATCTGGTCCAACGAACTCCTGCTAGCCTCCTCCCAGACTGTCCTGGACTCAGGCTTCTGCAACAAGCCTGGGAAGGCTGGGGCCCAACTCTTGCAGATGCCACCTGTCCAGGGGACAGACTGGAGGGCATGGGGACCTACTCCTTGCTCCCCCAGCAGCCCCAGAGGGCAAAGGAGGGGGGTAGGGCCAGTGCCTGTGTACCTTACAGTTCACAGCTGCCTTGAGCTGATGATACAGCATCTACCCAGCCAGGCGAGTCCACCAAACATAAACATCTGCTCCGCCTTGCCACCTCCCAGGCAAACAGCCCAGCTGTCTTGTAGGGCAAAGAGGTCAGGAGGTCCACATCAGCCTGGGAGCTGGTCCTCAGCAGCTCCCCCTCCCTTGAGGGAGCAGGGGCCTGTTTCCTGCCACAGCCCACACAGGACGCCTATCTCAACGGCTCTGGGTGGGTGGCTGGCAGAGTGGCTTCCCTTGAAACCCTGGGGTGGAGGCTTAAGGCCCCCAGTGAGAGTGAGCCCTGCTGTTGGGGAGGAACCAAGACACAGAGGCAGGTTCCCTTGAAGAACTCACAGCATGATCCAGCACAGCCATCTCAACCTTGCAGAGGAAGAGAGTGAGCTTTGAGCCCGCTCAGCATCTCTTTCAAAATTCTTGATACATGCTCACTCCAAGGGCACAGATGGCGGATAAGCAGACCCTACCTGCTTCCCAGGGCACTCCTGCAGAGGGAATGGACTGCAGAGAGCTGTCTTACAGCTGTCCCAGGCCCTGGGAGTTGTGTCTAATTGCTGAGCTTTTTCTCAGGTTCTAAAATTCCCCAGGTGGGCCTGCCTGCTGGGTAGCAACAGCCTCTGGAATGAGGGGCTTGGCCCACAGCTGCCCTGAAGGAGCAAAGCAATGCTCGGAGCCTGGGGATGGGAAGGGGCAGCACTTGGGGGCTGCAGGCTGGAGACCTAAAGAACTTCAAGTCTAAGGCCTTGAAACTGTTGTCAGGTCTCTGACAAGAGCTTGACTCGAAAAGTTGCCTAGCTGCTAGCCAGGGTCTGCAGAGGTCCCCATTTCCTGGCACTTCCTAGAAATAAGGTGCAGGTAGCCCTAACCAATGTGAGTGGAGGGCTCGATTGGTCAAAAGAAAATTGTGTTGGAGTCCGCAGGGGTGGGGGCAGTCGTTCAGTTCTCTCTCCCTTGCCGGTACCCATCCACCCGCCCAGATGCCTAGAGGCTGAGATGGTCCCAGGGGCTATGTCCTGATGCTCCCTCCCTCCTCTTGGGAGACCCAGCTGCCTGGGTTGGATTCACCTTGCCCGTGAGATCGTAGCTCGGACTGCAGGGCGGGGAGCGCTCGGCGGCCTCGTCATCCCTGGAGGCGGCGGCGCCAGGCGTGCCCATCATGTCCCTGACAGGAGGTGAGCTGGGGCAGGCTGGCCGGCCAGGGTGAACGCGAAGCCGCCCCGCCCCGTGCTCCACCCACTCCTTCCTCGCCTCCTTCGCGCAGCCTGGACCCTGCCAGGCTCCTCCCTCCGCCCCGCCATCCACTATATGGGGCCAGTTCGGCGCGGGCTGTCGGGCGAGGGCGAGCAGGACTACGGGGTCTGCACCGGGGGTGGGGGAGGCAGGCCCCCTGAGCAACATTAGCCTGGTTTTGTGCTCTTAGCTCAGTGGCCAAGTCCAGCTGCTGGACCAGTCTCCCCAGATCGCCAGCCTCGGGGTTAGGTTCCCCTCGAGGAGCGGGTCCGGGAGACTCCGCCTGCCTGGGAAGATCAGGTCTGGCTCGCGGACCCGCGCGGGGGTTCTCACGGTTGTGGGCAGTGCGGCCAGCAGGCGGCGCCAGAGCTCCTGCCACCTGGCGGGGCGGCTTGGAGGCTGGGGATGCCCCTGGGCGGAGCAGTGCTGCGTTGGACTGGAGGAGGCGTGCGTTCCGCCGAGAGCGCCAAGGCAGTTTCGCTTTTGCTATTGCATGCCAACCTCAACACGGTTTCCCCCGCCCTGGCTAGTGCTAGAAGTTCCATCAGTTAGTACGATCACCTCTCATTTCCTCCTGCTTTGATGGGCTGCACCCAGAGTATCCCACCATGGTTTAGACCTTCGCAGGTGGGCTTGGCAGAGCACCCTCCCAACTGGGGATCCTGAGGGCAGCGCTGGCCTTGTTCCTGTGGGGGCGTGTACCCTGGCAACGAGTAACCAAATGAATTCGTGAGGATGTTGATCATTTTGAGCAGTTTCTAGTGCATCCTAGGAACCCTGTGCTTTAGTTCCTGGTGATAGGTGAACAGTGGGTCTGGGGTTGCCCAGAGCAAGTTCAGGGGCTTGTGGCCTGGGCCAACCTTTCTCTTTCCTCTATCCCAACATTCTATATCAGGGAACAGGGTGTGTGCGCACTGCAATGGGAGGGAGGGGGCTCCTGCACTTTCTAACTTAACTTCAGGGGTATCTGGGGCAAGGGTCAGGCCTGGCTTATGGGTGTCTGTAGGCCACATAGACACCTATTATGTCTACACCAGCCTGTAGGTTTTTTGTTTGTTTTTTGGTACTGGGGATCGAACTCAGGGGCGCTGGGCCAGTGAGCACACCCCCAGCCTTATTTTGTGTTTTATTTAGAGACAGGGTCTCACTGAGTTGCTTAGCACCTTGCTCTTGCTGAGGTTGCCTTTGAACTCACGATTCTCCTGTCTTAGCCTCCCGAGCCACTGGGATTACAGGCGTGTGCCACTGCACCTGGCCGGCCAGCCTGTGGTTTTTGACATCTGAGTTATTTTATGGCAGCTGAGAAGAGCCCCGAGTGGGGACAGAGGTGATCTTATATAGAGCAAGAAGCTTGGCCACTTCTTATGGAGGTGGCTGGGATGCAACTCCTCATTGCATAGGGTGGCACTCAAACAGGGGACAGTTCATGAAGAGTAGAAGCTGCCCAGCCCCTTACAGTTGTGTGCTGCTGTTGTTACTTGGGTGCCAGAGGTTCCAGTCTATTCAATGCCAGGGGCTCCAGGACCCCAGAGGGCACACACAGGAGTCCTGCAGGGCTCAGGGTGAAGGGGGAGTGAGAGAGGGGAAGTGGTTTATATTGAAGTCCTAAATACCAGTACCCCCAAATGTGACCTTATTTGGAAACAGGGTCACTGCTGATGCTGTTAGTTAAGATCAGACATGCTGGAGCAGGTTGGTCCCTAATGTAATGTGACAGGTGTCATCAGGAGAGAAGAGACACAGGAGAAGACAGCTGTGAAGACAGAGGCAGAGCCCGGACTCTCCCTGATGGCTCCCAGCAGTCCGGGCCAAGGAATGCCAAGGGTTGCTGGAGCCACCAGGAGCTGAGGAGAGGCAAGAAGTTTTCCCTGGAGACTTCGGAGGGCATGTGGCCCTGCTGACACCTTGATGTTGGACTTCAGCCTCCAGCTGTGTTTTGCATTGATGGCTCCACCAAGGCCCTCTTTATCCTGTGGTGAGTGGGAATGGAAAAGGTTGGACATTGGTGTGATATCCAGAAATAGCAGAGAGATAAAGTCACTGTGCTGCGTCACTGTGCCAGTTCAGGTCCACTCATCACACCGAGCCAACAAGTCAGGAACACGGGGGAGGTACATGGGCTCTCCTTTGGGAGATACCTGTTTGGCTCACTGGGTCTGCAGCATGGGGGCAGTATGTATGAGGAGTGGGCTGCACACTGTCCCTTGGGGTGCTGTAATGTCCTGGGTGTATTCAAGGGCAGCCTTGAGCGAGTCAGAAGCAGGAGGGGGTCAGGGAGGTTCCGCATGAGCTGCATAGAAGAGGGACTCACTACAGGGTGGGAGCTCTTTAGATGTGGTCTTCAGGAGAGGGTTGATCTAGAATACAACACCCAGGCCTCCTCGCACCCACTCTGATGCTGTGTATGCCCGTGGCAGCCAGTGTCTCCCCAACATACACCCCTCACAACAACACCCTACAAATACTACAAACTCATATGCTTCCCACAGACACACACTCTCCATATCATACCACACAAAGCACATACGTTTTGTATCCATCTGTAAACCCATGGCTTGTGCTATGACACACCCCTCATATGGTAGGACACACACAAGGCCCTCTTTATCCTGGGTCTTACACAATGCACGTGTCCCTCCCACATGCTTCACTTCTCCCCACACATGTATCTCTCTTCACCCCAGACATGCACACACCCTGTCTCCGTTCACACCCTGCCATCAACGCGCACATCCCATCTCTACACAGACACGTCCTTCAAACCCACCTTCTGTCATCAGGACATGATATGCACGTATCACTTCCAAACGGAATACCCCACAAGTTGCCCCCAACTCTTGTCATCACCCCCAGATCTGAAATGCATATACATCATCCCTGCCCTCCTGCGCCATGGGTCACACCTGCCCCTGTCACATAGCACTCCTGGGAGAGAAGGTGCCGAGGGACACAGGAACCCCCTCCTGCTCATTCACAGGTGGCCTCTGTGATCAGCCAAGGCCATCTGGAGAGACTTCGTGACATCCAGGTAGATGGAAGAAACACCAGCGCTGGGGAGCAGTGTAGCCCAGGAGGTTTGGGATGTACAGGGGACACTAGACTAGAGACTGGAGGGACAAGGCCTGAACTCACGTTCTGCAAATGGTGGCACAGGGACCACCTGACCAGAGCCCCCAGGTGCACATCAGGATGCTGACTCTGGGTCCCCATCTGGTCTTGCCGAATCAGATGTCTGTGGGTGGCTCTGCTTGGAGCCTGCCTTTAAGTACACTGAACAAGGGTTTGGAAACCACGGCCTAGACTCTGTGACAGCTGCACCAGCAGGTGAAGGGTGTGGCGTTTTTTGGAAGGCAGCAGTGAACCACTGAAGTTTCAGGTGGGAGAGGAGCAGAGCAGGGCTTTGGGAAGATGAATTTTGCAGCAGGACTCGAGAGTCTGGAGAAACTGGGGTAAGATGTAAGGGAGAACTGACCTGGGGTGGGACAGGGACGGCTGTACGGCTCACGGGTGAACTCCATTGACATCAGCCCCTGGGAGCAAACTCACCAGCAGGACTCTGTAGTGAGCTCGGCGGAGTTGGTGCTGCAGGACTCGGGGAGGACCCGGATTTGAGAGGTGCCTACACAGGACGTGCACAGGCCCCGCCTCCGGAAGGCAGTGGGCCTGTTAGTTTCTGGGATGAGGGCATGTCCCAGTTGGCCACCCCACTCCCTTATTTGTCCCCTATCCCTCCCCTGTTGCCCGGGCTGCACTCAGTCCCCTTGGCTACTAGGACCTAGGTGGCCCCTTCTGCCTCAGACGTCTTCACACTGGAGTTCTGGGTATAGCCAGGCCCAGGCCCTGGGCACTCGGATTTGCCAGCTCTGTGTGGTATTTAGAATCTCTGTGTGAATGACCGATGGGTAAACACGGGCCTTGTAGCCTGGCTCTCCAGGGACCCCAGGTGACTGATATTTTAAAGAGACCCCAAACTCTCCCAGCCTCTTCCCCAGCAGGATGGGTGCGACCAGCTCTGTGTCAATATCCAGCTGTTCTAAGCACAGGGATGGACGGGGAAGGAACGGAGGACGCCAGGCGCTGGACAGAGGGGCGGGGAGAGAGCCTCTGAGACGCTGCGGCACTCAGAGCTGGAGCTCTCTTCGTGTCAACTGGGGGCTGTGGCTAGGTCCCTTCAAGCGTCCTCTGTGTGGTTCCTGTCACAGGCTGTTGCCTTCCCTGCCGTCACCTTTGGGAGTTCCCCTGGGCTCAGGTCCCAGCTGTGTCCCCGTTTGTGGCTCTAGGTCATGCCCTTGGTACAGGTGTCCCTCAGTGTCAAGGGCACCCGTTGGGTTGCTCAACGGCGCCAGGTGGATGCCGAGGGGGTGGAAGGCACCCAGGAGAGCTGGGGAGCCCCCTGCCCGGCTCAGGCCGGGTGGGTCCCTCAGTCTGACCACATGCAGTTTCCTTCTGCCTCACGCTTCTCGTCAAGCTGATGGCAAAACTCAGAGGTCTCACCCCTGTGGTCTGAGTGCGAGTCAGGGTTTGCGGGCCACACCTGCGTCAACTCACACCCCACCCTCCCAGACAGGCAGAAGGAAGGGCGAGGTGTGGGTGTGACCGCGAGGGTGGACTGAGTGTGGCTGGGTGGACAGCGTGGAGCATCAGGGCATCGGCTCTCTTCCTGGCAGCTGGGTCAACGGCCTCAGGGATTGCCAGGGCAGCCTTGGCCTTGTGGGACTCACCCTGCTCGACCCAGCCTGCCCTGGCCCCCGTCTCAGGGCCACTGGGTACTCGGTCTCAGGACAGAGTCCAGGCCAGCTCTCCCTTATCACCCGCTCCTGGATGGCCACCTGAAGCCATGTGCAGACTGGATCTATGAGACCAATGGGCAAGCCCAATTTCTGGTTCCCCTTCTCTCTTCCCACCAGCATGGCGGGCTGCGTCCCAGCCCTGAGCGTGGCCTCCAGGGCCTGATT